TTTTTTTGTTTTTTTGTTTTTTTTTTCGGGTCCAATCTTAAGACTTGTTGTTTTGCTTTGGTAACGAAACTCAACACTCCCTATGCGTATCGAAGAACATGATTTTATGTTTCGTTATTGTGTGTCTGTCGGGTGATGCAGAAAGGTTAAGCATTTAATTTCAAGGTTAAACCATGGCCACGTACGGAGGGAGGGCTTTAATGTGAATGTCTTTTAAATTTGTCGTCTCGATTTATAACTCCGTAATGTCAGCCCGTGACTTTATTTGTACGCACCTGCACATAGTTATCCCCTATCACACAGTGAACAGCTTCGTCGCAGATACCCAAATGCGTCGCGATCGATTTATTGTATTGATTCGGCGGAAGCATTGTTCGATACACCAAGATTACTCCGAGCCTTCAATATTGACATAAGTAGTACACCTCGTGTATCAGGCGTCGTAGCCTTCATTCAAGTCTTAACACGCTGATGACTGTTTGTTAGTTCGATTTTTGGCTGCAGTCTGCATCCGATTCAACTGAGTTGCGACTTGAATCCAATATTCGTCTCCTAGTAACGTCTCCCAAAGTCGATGTCCGATTATTACGTCAATTCGATAGACCTTGCAGCGCCTATCAATTTTTATCATAGAGATACTCTATGCATTAATCCACCCACCGACTGTAAAACACATTTGATAATGGTGTGTACAGGCCCCATAGGGCTACCCGACGAACCATCTGAAATATTGCTCCTGTAAAATACGGAAAAATACGTCGATCTCGATCCATAGACCTCCAAAATTAGGGGGGGGATATTAGCCCAGGTTGGACGACGTCTACAATGCAATGTAGACGTCGCCCAACCTAGGCTAGGGGAATATGTGCATTTATACAAGACCCGGTCAAGAAAATTCTGAATTGTTATCAAACTCAGTTATGCTTATGGAATTCTTGTTCAAAAGCAAACACTCTAATCGACGGAGCTGAGTTCATGTCGTTACTCATGCCGATATATCCAACGCTTTTAAGGAATGCAACTGCAGCAATATAAAAATGCTGAAATCGAACTTCTTGTGTGACGATTAACAGAAACACTGTCTGAAACGGAATGGACATGCTGTTAACGGTGGGCGTTTATAGGGCGGCAGTCACAAGAATTTTGGACAGAGATAAATATTTGTTGTGTTCGCTTGTACCACATCCGTAACTCCATATTCTGCTAAGAAGGTGTTGTTGGTTATGCAGAGCAAAATGTAAATGTAGCAGAGATCGGCACCTTCAAAAGAATCGATCCCTCTCACAGAGAGTTGACTTCGCCATAGGCAATGGTTTAACGATCATGTGCATGTTTGTAGACCGACCGAACCTTTACCGTTATTTACACGCTCCGATTCTCTGGGCGCACTACACAAAGTTTAATGGATACCGTGGTCTATACGAAAAATAGGAAATCGATGCTTGGCAACAGGATTTGGGATAAATTCTAACACCACCCTTCTTGTCTACTCAAAACACAGCAATACTCTCGTAAAATGGCCGCTGCTGGTCGATGTAAGAGAATGGTGTTGAAAAACATATCAACTTCAGACACTTCTTGACAAAATTCGCCCCCAAAGTTGATTCGAATTACATTCAATCTAAAAAATCAGTTAACTTCGTAGTAAAAAAACCAAACATTTTGAGCGGTTTCTTTTATTCGCGCGTCCAAATAGAGAGGGTTGGAAACTAAAATGGACTTGCGGCTTAAGTTGCAGCGTGGGTGTAACTTTTACCATCCGCTGAAAATTAAACTGGAAAGCTGATGCGGGCATCTGCCATACTGCGACTAGTTTGGCACAATTTGATAGAACTAGTTTCAGCGCAGTCTCACAAAATTGCTCTTTCAAAGACCCGACCGATTGGCTCGCATGGAGGGAACGGATTACATTTCCCTGAATCGGTGATTGTTTAGAGCAGAAAGTCTAATTAAACACGAATTCAGTTTAATTTGTTTTATTTTTATTTTGGATAGGTTTACTTGAGTCAAAAAGGCCCAAGGCAAAAATAATGGACTGGTTTTGATTAAAGTTTTGCCGTATCAGCCTTCAGATGAATATTGATTTTTCGATGAAAAGTTCAACCTACTACCTAACCGTAACCCTATACCTAACCCCTAACCCTAACCCGTTTCTAAACTTGTTTTACAGTTTATACTTACTTGCTTTATTTATACTCAACACTTTGCTGTGTTAAACATATAACTGTTTTGACAAAATAATAGACAGATATGGCACAAGATCACAGGAAGTCTGAGATGTGGTTTAGTCAAACGGGTCACGCGAGAGATTGGACTGGTAAGTGTTGGTCATTTGAGTGGATAATACGCAGTGCCTGAGCAAGTATAGACTCGACGTCAGGGTCTTCGTCTTGCAAGTTGCAAGTCAAACCTCACTTTTGTAATAATACAGCGATTCGGTGAAATGATCCAATACCGCATGCGCAAACTGTAAAGAGTGTATTGTCAAACAAAGTTTATAGCAGGAGAAAGACTGATTGCAACGGCGAAAACTTACACAAAAAAGTGGCGCTGTCGGTGGAATAATGGATCGTCCAACAACTTGAAGTGAGCACATCAGGATGATTCATATGCATCCAATTCAATCCAGAAATCAAATAAAATTTCATGGAAGTACAGTTTAAGGAGGAATATACATGCAGTACTGCTCTCAAATGGACTACCGCTTGCATGAGACCAGCGAATTAACAGACTGACCAATTTTTATTTTCACTGCGGAATTGCTGAATGGTTTATAGTCATGAATATTTACGCGACGTATTCAAATATTCGAGAATTGTCAATTGTGATCTTTGGTTTATCTTACACGGAGGTCAAAGAATGACCACCAGTCCAAATTTGACATCCATTTAGTTTATTTACACCGGCTGTATCACTTTATAGTAGTTTGTTTTAGCATGAGCGCTCTAAACAAATGTTTCCTCGTTCTCCGAATTTCTCGTCATTCAAATCTCCCTCATTATCGACGAGCCACTCATAAAACTGGTAAAACAAATTTGAATTGCTTGTTTCGACTTCAGATTCGTTATCCTTTGGCTGCAAACAAGACGGTTGACAAACAATGCACCGTTGAAATGACATAACTTGCCGTCTTTGTGGTGCTAATTTCAAGGGGCACTTACAGGCACAAACACTAATCTTTCAATGTTTACTCCAAATGTGCGCTGATTTCAATCCAAGCAACTCTGCTAAAGGGTGTTAAAGTGAATTGAATTAAAACAATTTCATCGAATTAAATCATGAAGTAAGGTGTATCCCAGATACCAAGCGCTTCCCTCACAAGATTTAGGTTTTCAATGATACAAATTTGTATACAAGGCGTTGGCCCATAATCTAATTAACAAGAGAAAGTTAAATAAAAGTGAATTATGTAATTTATTATGCCTAATTCCTTCAGCCTATTCTTTCTTAGTCAATTTTGAATCACAACAAAAATGACGTCCAAATAACCGCTAATTCAAACCATCTTAACGATATATTCTATATGACGAAATTGAATGATTAAATCGTTAAAATGGATGACAAAAAAGGAAATTAATGTGTTTTTCCAATTCAACGCCATTCCCGGAGTGAGACGAAAATAACGATGAATGGGACGAATAAGTGGTTCTTTTTGTGATTTACAATGCTCTGAAAGTGACATCAAGTGGTGTTATTTCAAAATTGAAAAAAAAACCTTTTAGGACGAGTGACCCCTATTTGACGAAATTATACTGTCGTTTTAAGCAATTTTAAATGAAAGAAGTGCTAAATTAAAACCAATATTAGCCGTCATTGGCATCGTTTGATAAAGCCGTGGGTACGAGGAAATGCCGTATGGTTCTCACAGGCATACTGCTGGCCTTTCAATACGTCCCCATGAATTTTTAAGGCGGTCGTTCTGGTTCCCGCATGAAATTTTGATACGACATCGTTTGAGGCGATTGTTGAATCGAAACTGGCTTCTTCAACTACAAGCGTTAATGATGTTGATACTGTGAATTATTTACATTCACGTTCGATTACAAATGCCTGAGTAATTTGGGAGTAAAGAAAGGAATGGTAACCGATATCTATTCATTCTTCTGATTTGACATTATTTTGAATTTCTAAAATTTGTAATATCAAATTTCTAACTTGAAACCTCCGTTCGACGTTTACAGTTCTACGTTTTTACTTTTTCTTGGCTGGCGAGATTTGAAAAGAGATAAAAAGCAAATTCACAGTGTAGTTGTTAGAAAAGGTAGTTCTTTTTTGTCCATTTCCCAAGCTTTTCCAACACCATAAATGCAAGCGTTTTTCTGTCTTTTTCGACTTTTTTGTTTGTTTGTTTTGGGTTTTTTGTTTTACAATATGAACATTCAACATTGGCATAGTGGAAAAAAACAGTCAATACGCAATAAACACACAACATTGATAAACGAGAACATCAAACTCGAAGGCAAAGACGACAATCTTTGTCTTATCGAACACACTGTAAAACCCAATTCAAAATTTCAGTCGATTTCTACGAAAATGATTTGTCATCTATCAATGTACGAGGAAGACACTGTAGAATCTCATTAAACATACGCAGGGACTCTATACGAACGGCGAGCCTATTGTTACAAAAATGTTCCTTTGATTGGAGAATATTGACTCATTAGGTGGCATGGCGTGCCGCTTGGACAAAAAGGGAGAATTATTGATCTTAGGGGACAGTGGTTAGGGAAGGAGATTTGTTGTTAATAAATAATAGCAACCGGTGCAGTGTTAGGAACGTGGGTCGTGACTGATGAACGATGGAAGAGAAGAGTGTTTCCAATTCTTCGCCTAATGCAACTAGTTATTGTGAAATTCGTTCCTTACTTTTTCAAAACGAGAACGATACTTTTCTCGGTGACAGTTCTATATACAAACATCACAAATTTTGCCATAAAGTGCTAACATGTCCTAAAATATCGAAATAGCAGGAAAAATATTGAAGATGTTTTACTTAGAAAATACTTGGTATTTTCCCAGATCAGTCTCATAGGGTTTGTGCACAGGGTGTCAAGTGATGTCCGGGTAGGGAAATCTTTTTTTCTTTTGTCATACATACTCTTCAAAAACTCTCCAAGGTATAACAAGGAGGATATGAAATTGCACTGCCCGATTGTTAGTTTTCCAGTCAAATTTGACAAAGGTTTTTTAAGAGTGTAAGTGTAAACATCGGTGCAAGTATACAAACCACTAAGGAGCAACCGCTGTACGAGAGGCCTTCATTTCACCTGTATACATCGACATAAGTTCCGATTTACATTTTCGTTTTGAACAGATTACGAAATTGTGCACTTTCCCTTTAACTGATCATCACAGTCCTTTGGAGTTCCAAGTGTTTCTAACAATGTAGAATGATATGAAACTCGAGCAGTTAGACCACAGATTAGTGTGTAAGAATTTGGGATAAAAGCCTACCAGAGGATTACTCAGAAAGCGTGGGGCTATACACACATGCATGCAAACATGTACATGGGGGTGTTCAGCACAAACACCAGGAATGTCCTTCAAGACTGGATTGCGTCGGATTAAAATATAACGTCTGTAACGTCCCGTGTTGTTGCCAAAATACCGGTCTTTCTCAAAGGGGGTTCTTACTTTACTCATGAAGAGATTACGAGAAATATTTGGAGCACTCTTGGGGCAATGCAGTGCGCTGTTTGATGATCGTATTAAGTAGCTGTTTATTGCGTTTACGTTCGAGGGGCTACCGATTCTATTGTGTTTGGACTGATGAGCCGTAAAATGCAGAAGATGGAACAAAATGTGAAGTAGCCATGTTGGACAGACATCTGACAAAGGGTCCCTTTGTTGTAATAATTACATAACGCTTTATACAGCAGGTAGGAATGGCGGCGAATAAATCTGTGGTCCACTTTTTGAAACAAAATTGGGATGAAAAACATCGAGTGCAATTCAACAGTGTGACGTTTTCCTTCGACACGACAAAAAACTAACGCCGCTTGGTACAGATTTGGCGATTTTAAAGTGAAAGGTTTCCAAGGGCCTCAAAAAAGTTTATTCCTCCACTAAAATAAAAAAGACTGTCCAAACAAACCCCGTCACAAAGGGCGAGAAAACAATTCTTTGTCCAAATTTGCCAATTCGTCCTACAATAATTAATTTTATTTGATTCTTACCGAGGCAGCTCTTGGAAATGTCCCACTCCGTCTGTGTTTATTCCTTTTTCTCGGATTGTTTTTATTCACTTCGTTTCGCATGAGGAGCGGGAACGTTCGGGTTAGGTCGGGGCGAGCGGGCGCCGGAGCCTTGTGGTACCGCCACTCCTCGGCGTTCCTGGGCCCTTTCCCCTGGCCGACGATCCGCTCTCGGACCCGGGCCAGAGCTTTCTGGTAGCTGGTGTCGAGCCAGCTGGCTTGGATGGTGCCGGGTGGCGGGGGTCGCTGGAACTCCCTGATGGAGACGATGGAAGGCAAACGACGGCTGGATGAATTCTCATCGTCATTCTCTGCTTTCTCGTCTTCCTCAGCATTTGAGACCTCCCGGTCTTCGACCGTCTCGGAGGCAAGGGCGGTGGTGTCGGTTTCATCCCCCGTGGGAACCTCGGGTTGGAGGGGGTCCGGGTAGGACACCAATTGGTTCAAAAGAGGGAATGCCATTATGAAATGGTCGGAACGATTCTATCATGGAGGAAGGAAGCTCAAAACCTTCAAAACGTTCCTCAAAAACAAGCCGCCATAGGTTCACTGCGGTGAAAGGTATATCTTTATAAGAGAGTTTCTTTAGTCATTTTGAAACTTGGAACCAGAAATAGAATAATAGAAAGAAATGAGATTTACTTTACATTTTGACATTGTTTTGTCTCAGTGCAATCTAACCTAAGTCAGAAGCCACACTCCAAAATCGATCATAGGACACGATCCCCCCTATATGGCTGTGCATAAATCATACACTGAAAGCGGTCTTGATCAAATATGCCAGGCTGTTTTTATATAGCAGATCCTTCATCACTATTGTATATCATTCCAGCTATATCCACACCGTAACACCACGTAATATTTACTCTATCGCCGATAACAAGTGCACTGACATGCTTCGCACAATCCGAGACATTCAACACTCCACGAACTTTGGCCCTTGTGCCTCTGATAACCACCAGTTCCGGGTTCGCGCCCTGTCTGTCACCGTATACTTGCCGCGTGTCCAGCCTTTACCACCGAGTCATGCCGGGTCCAATTCTTCGATCGCCTTGGTGAAGTGGTTCCTTCCCAAGAGTGGAAAATGGGCACCCGATCTCCACAAACGCTGTCACTAGAGACCGCTCTGCGATTTCACTTCTCCATCTCATTTAATTTTGAACAATGGAGCACTTGTTTCAGCGACTAATTGAAATGAAAGTTGAGTTGAGGTGCCGCTTTCAATTCCTCGGTGTTTCTTTCCGACTTTCTGCAGACCGTGCACTCTGCGAATGAATGAAGCCAGTAACACAGCTCGCGCATGGTGGTATTGAACCGTGCCCCTACCAGCTAGGCAACGGGCTAACTGCGCTTGGTGTGTGGGGTATCCTATTGTTATTTCATTGGCTTCTGTGGCTCGCCTCGTTGAGCCTCTCTTTTGTCAAAAACTAAGGTTGATTTGATGGTCCATATTACGATCCACGATGCATATGTGCAGTGGTGTAAATTTGTGCTACATGTAGATATTTGGGGATGAGGGATGGGGAAAGATGGGGGATGGCTTGCACAGCCATGAAAATTTGAAAAGCGGGGGGGGGAGGTGACACCATATGACTCTATAGAGGTCGATGTTCATGATATTGATGTACATCTGTAATATGTATTGCACATTGTATTGCAATGCAGGAGTCAGGTTGGCAAGGTACCGTAGTTCTTTCCTCGCCTTCCACCTCTGTGGTTCATGGGTTTGATTCCCGGCCCGGTCCACATGGGGATTGGGTTTTCAGTCCCTTCCTGACTCCCCTGACTCCATGGGTTTTACCCAGAATATTCCTCTGGGGTTTTCCTCCCACCTCTAAAACTGTAACTGCTTCTTACTGTCTCCCCTTTTGACGTTGGTGAATGTGGGTCGCTTGGCGGCTGCCCGAGGCGCCCTTGTACGCCATCGGCTCAACCATGTGTAAATGTATTCATTGTTCCACACTAAATGTCTTCATTGTACAGCGCATTTGAACATATCTATATGAAATTTGCGCTTTATAAATGAATAAATTATTATTATTCAAATTGGCATATTTACGGCTTTTCAAATTTGTTTTCTCTTTCATTAACATTGAATGCATTTTAGTCGTTGGAAGTCCAAACAATTCTTCACAATCTGCTTTAATTTTGCTCAGCAAAAATGGGGGGGGGGTTTCAATAGCCCCACTTCAAAAAGTGTGTGTGGGGGTATATGCCCCCGTCCCCTGGGATTTACGCCCTTGCACATGTGGCACTCTACTTTTTGGTGATCATATTGAAAGTCTATTCGATGGCTTAGTTTGGCCGATTTGATGCTTCTGTGTCTAATAACAACACATGAATTTAATTTTCCCACATGCAACTGGAATGGTTTTTATCTCTGTGGAACACCCTTTCTGTTTTGAAAATTCATATTTTCAATTCAATTGAAAATTTATTGTTGATTTTGTTACCAATTGACACAAACCCTAAGCCGGCTCAAAGTGATGACACTGTTCTATTCATATTTATCGGTAGTACGATCTCGTAAAATTGGTAAAAATGTAAAGGCCCAATAATGGTCAGTTTTTCAAAATTCCTGTGTGTGGAGATGTAGGCTACATAATAACAATTTACGAGTTACGGCTTATACTCAAAAGACAATGAGTGGTGGGGTCTACAGGATCCGTGGTCAATTTTCTGTCTTCCAACTTCCCAAACAGGCTGCATGATTGGAATTCCTCTCCCATATTTGCTTTTCAAGTCAATACTCCAGCATGTTAGAACTAGTTTGCCTCACTACAGTGCTAAGCAAATAAATGATACTAAAAGGCCTTCATTCGATCGAACAAAACCATACAAACAGAAATGATGTGGTAGTCCGTGCGCCGTGGAATAACTCTGACTGCGGATACAAATAACACGTACACCTATGGGAGCCACTGACAAGCGGCTGCAGACACTTCCCATAGCTGCGTACAAGCGCCCAGTCAGAGCCAGTTGATTCGGACATTGCCCATCATCGTTGCTAGGCGACTACGTAATATTCTTATTTAAAAGGCGCCCTCTTGGGGCTAGTTCTGATAGGATTAAGCGCGTAGAGTGGTCAATGGGGAAAGTAAATACACATTACTCAAATTCTTACGAGCGCAGGGTGATTATCAGTGTCACATATGTATTACCAATTTCTATTATGGTTCATTCTTAAAATCTGTCTAAAAATGCAGCTCACCCAAAATACAAACAATTTTTGTGTGTGCAGCCGAATGTTTCATGGAAAAAAATTCACAAAATACGGTAATTTTTTCAACGTATAGTGCATATTTTGTAGTGTAAATTTATTCATCAATATTTGGTAACTATTAATTTTAACATAGAATTGATATACTTTTTATCATTGTATCGCCAAAAATTTACAAATATAAAGATGTAGATTTACACAGGAATGACACATCAACAATGAAAAGCAGAAACAATTGAAAATACTGTAGTAGAGTTGAAAAGTTTTAGGTTAACTATGAAAATGTTAAAATTTTTAGAGCCACAGGTGAGATCAACCCCAGATTTCAATTCAATCATTTTCATTCACCGTTCTACAAGAAAGGTGCGAAAGGTAACAATGCTGAATTATTCAGTCTCATGGACAGCTCTCTATTTCTTTTTGGTCTTTTTTTTCAGTTGCTGATTCATTAGAAAACAAACAAATTTGGGCAACTGCAGTCACACTATAACTGGCAGCTCAAATGAAAGTTTCAATTTCTGCAGTCAAAAGGATAACTTCATTACTATCCTTGATTCCTAACCCACCACACAAACCCCTACCAAGCCCGACCACCCCACCCACACAACACCCTCACAGCAATCCACCCCACCCATCTCAATTTCTGTGTTTATAAAACTACTGAAGACTGTTTTTTTTTCTATTTGTCTCCAACTCAACCAATTGTATTCAAATCTTAGCACGATGCCTAACACTTCATTTCCAATAAATGCCCAATGTTCTTCACACACTCTTTTGCGTAGGCCTTTTCCCCAAAACTTGTTCATATGAATAAATTCTACTGAATTATCGACTTTCCTTGAGGAACGTTGGCAGTCTAGAAACAAATTCAACATCTTAACACAGGACAAAATTCATCTGTTTAAATAAATTACTATAAATATTAAAATATTTACAATTATGACAAATGTAGTTACTTCTTACACATTTTGATCGATTGTACTTGTTAGCGCACAGTGTTTACAAACCTACATGCTAATTACGGTACTATATATTATGCAAGGCTCTGATTTTTTTCTTGTTTTAGTAAAAACAGCATTTCATGCACACTGTTTCTAAATTCCTTCAGAGCTATGTCAAGGAAAGTTCTGGTTAAAACTCCGTAAAATATACTGTATCCCTAGTCACATTGCTAAAATATGCACCGAAAACACATTTACCTGTGGTTTCAAATGTGGGACACAAATGTATCTATTTATAGCAGACAGAGTTTGACGTCCACCGTAAAAGCTACATACAAACATTCAGACAATTAAATAGAACTTTTAGTCTTTGAAACACAAAAAATATACATGGCTGAGTATGATTCGCCACAGGGCTGAAAAATATTGCATATATCTCGCGATTTATGTAATACTTGGGTTTTTCCCTGCTTCAGCTTTTGTGCATACAAAAATTGGAAAGCACTGATTCCACTATATTTTCTTAAATTAATATTTATAAATATTTACATCAATCCGAGGGCTTCATCATTTTTTCCTTTTTGTGGGAGAAAAATGGATTACTTCTCCTAAGCAGCATTCTGGAAGACAAGCCATTCTCTCTTCCAATATTTCAAGAAAAATTTGGCAAACCCCTCCCCCCCAAAGAGAGACATTTAATATAATTTTTGCTGGACAAGTTTCAGGACTTTACAGTTAACTTTCAAGAATAGAAAACCACTGTCATAAGACCAGAGCCCACAAAATGAGTCATAAGGCAATACATGCATTTTTTGTAATTTGTTTACATTAGAAAGATCAATGTGAGATCTTTATTTCGATCATCACTCAGTTTATCACCCTGGTGAACACGGACATAAAAGTGGGTGAAAACATTGAAGGTACATGTAGCTACTGATTTCCATTGTGCACCATTCTACAAAAAGTATTTAACTCAAAATGTGGCTCTAGTGACTTAAGACTCATTTTGTTTAGGTTGGGCTGCATACTATGAATCACCGGGAATGGCCAGTTCCTATAGCTTCTGATGAGATTCTTTACTTTCCTTGGATGAGGGGTCTATTTCCCTGAATTTTCTTCATGTTGTTAAATATCACCAGCCTTGACTCATGGGCCATTCAGTTATAAGGAGAACCTGGGAACTACATGTAGGTAAGACGTTTGTGGAAGTCTTCTCTTGTCTTTGGTCATCTCTCACTGCTAGCTTGGCTCACTTCAGACACTAGAGGGAGCTAGTGGACTCGGCCAAGAACAGCAAGCCCCCTTGCACAGAATGCGATTTACCGTCTCCCATACCACTGCACCATCTTACATCACCCGTCATTCTGTTGTCAGCCGTGAACCAGCCACGGGCAACAAGCTGCTCAAGCGAGGGTGCCATTTCTTTTCAGAGTGCCATGCAGATTTCATAGGTTCCAGTCCATTTAGGGAGAGAATTTCTCTGGAGCTATTCAAAATTTGTAATATGAGTCGGGCAGCACACTTGGACAGTTTCAGTTTGTCTTAGCATTTATGACCCATTCCGCTGTAGGGTTCACTCTCAGTAACGCCTCCATGTTGGTGTCAGGGTCTAAACATCTCTCTCCTAAAACCAGATCAAAATTGACAGGAGTGTAAGTTCATCAAATAGTTCAATTTGCCCCCCCCCCCCAAATTTCACCCTTTGATACATGGACAAGCATTGCTTTCAGAGTTTTTTAAATTTGAAATCCTACACTGATAGAGCTGAGGCTGTTTTGCAAGGCTTCAATACCATTCACTTCAAAAATTCAGATAACCATTCAGTCCAACGAAGCCTTTTTGAACATTACAGCAAAGATATCAACTCACCTATATTTCCCCCAATCTCGTACAGGAAGTACCTTGTTCTATTTGGTGTAAACTGTGATATCAGACCCGATACGTCACCATTCCTGTCAGATGAAAGACAGAAAGTCTAACACTCAAAACATTTTAACAGGCCCAAAAGCAAAGGTTAATTTTTAGGGGTGCAAACAATTCCCCCCCCCCACAAAGTGCCCCAGACACCCCCTTAAGATTAACAAATGACAACAGCAACAACTGCCTCTCCTATAAAAAAAAAATCCAAATAAAAAGTCTAAAAAAGACTTCTGTAAATTTTCAGCTGGACACAGGACTCCACTGATCCCATAATGCACTCAAAATACTCTCAGGGCTGATGCCTCAAAGGAGGGGGTGTCAACCTTCAGGGTTTCTGGTCCTGTGTAATAAATTAGTTCTTAGGATGATGAAGTGGAGATGTCTAGAGATGTCTGTAAACTGTGCACCAAGAAGAAACTTTCCATGTCTTTCCAACACATGGGAAGGTCAGGATGCTACAGACATCAACCCCCTCCCATCTCCCATTCATGGCAAACAGTTGGATTTCAACCATAAAACATGGCCAGCAGATGGATTCAAACCCCTGGCCCCTGATGAGTCAAGAACACCTTACCCCGATCACAAGTCAAGAAGCCTAGCTACAAGTTATGGACAACAACTGGATATGAACCCCCAACACTTAATCATGAGTCACAATGCCTAGCGACAAGTTATGGCCAGCAGCTGGATTCATATCCCCGATCCCTGATCATGAATCAAGAGACCTGCGTACAACTTATGTCCAACGGCTGGATTCGAACTCTTAACCCTCTGATCTACAGTCACGGATCTTAACAGGGTCAACCCCATACCAATCAAACCCCCGACAGGGTAACCCACCTCTCGAATGTCTTCCGCCTACTCCTCCGTCGGCTGTTGGTCCTCTTGAAGGGTACCTCAGGGGCTGAGGGTTGGACCACATGCTGGGTGAAATGCGACACGATATCCCCTGCCGTCATGTGCTCATGCAACCGTACCGTGTTGGAGATCTTCTCATTGCCAGGCATCTGAATTCGGATGACGCCATCTTCCACATCGTACTATTAAGCAAGAAATCATAAAAGGAGAGATATGGAATCTATATGCATTCTCTCCCTTGTTTCAACAAATCAGCTTCAAAATGTTGAGATTTAAACCTGACCTAGATCATTCAACATCCATCAAGTTTGGAGGAATAGAAGGATTATACATGCATTAACAATAATGTTCACTTGTGCTTGTCATCATGACAACCACGTCAGAGCCCTTTACAAATTACACTTATAACCCCATTCCTCTGGCAAAAACCAGTCAGCAGCAGGTATGAACATACATGACAAGGAAATCAGAGCCCAGTAACTGGTACTTTTTCAAAGGGGTTGATGCCCCTTTTAAAGTTTGTGTGCATCAAGCTCCTACACACTGGCTGGACTGGGGAAGAGTCAGGAAGGATGGGGTTTTGAAAATTCTCCAAGAGTTGGGGTTTAGAAACATGCTTCAGCAATGCTGTCTGCTCTTTAATAACCAAGCTCTGACCTGATTTGTCCAGTAAGTTGAAATAATGTTGATACTCACCTCAGCTGCCGAGCTTTTGCGGTCTTTTTTCCTGAACAGTGTCATCACCTAGGCAGGATGAAAAAAATATTTTTAGAAAAATTAAAAGCAGCAGCCCTCAAAAACAACAGAGGACTGCTCACATAAGTCAGAAAAAACTTTAAATTTGCCGTCTGTGATAAAAGTTTACCGTTAAATATTTACAGAGAGGCTACAGAGCAACAATGTTCATTAAGTGCAGTAAAAAGAGACTGTTCCTTTCTTGAAAACTCACCGATTTGGAATCTTTTGTCTTTTTTGTTTCAACTTCACACATCCGCCTGACTTGCTCCATCATACGGAACGGGACCTGCCAAAGAGGAAGAAAATTCCGGAGCTCAAGAACAAGCACGGAAAAAAGGGATGTAGTCTAGACACAAGGATCAGTTGGGTTTCAGAAAATGATATTCACAGAAGAGCTGCAAGAAGCTGTTTAAGACCAAAATCAGATTCCTGAAAAGCGGAAGGCCAATCAAGTCTCAACAAATCACACATATATCGGTAAGCAGCCAAAGCAACAAGCAGAAAAAAAAACAGAGCGCTGGATGTTTCATCTAAAAATGGCAGCAAGATGGGAGGAGAAACAGGAGATTAATCGAAGCGTGGGATGACAGAAAACAGAGGGATTACAGTGATCAGAAAGGGAAGGGCGAGGGAGGGTGGATTGAGTCTTCCTTCAATCTAAGTCCTTCAGCCGGTAATTGGGTTCCGAAGTATGGTCACATTTGGGATCGGATGCCAAAAAGAGTCTGAAGGCCCTTTTTCAGTGTTTTGTTGCAATTGTATTAAAAAGAAAGAGCAAACAGAGTTCTTTATTATGATGTGTCACACAATTTGGCATCTTAACCCTAACAATCCTCAATCCGCCACCTGTTGGAGGTTTGAAGAGTGTTAGGGTTTGAAAATTGACATTATGCGAGGACAATCTATAGAAGCTTTGCATGGTTGCCATCTTGCAAGGCAGTCCTTTTGTTCCACGGGGAAGCTTCCTTTGTGCATACCCTGTGTAACAAAAGCACTTGCCTGCAAGATGGCAGCTATGCAAACCGTCTGTTGGGGGTTCCTACTGATTTTCCTTACATCATGCAAACTTCTCTTTAAAGCTTACAGTCTAGAGTGATTGTTGAGACTTGCAACCCATTTTGATAGACTGGGCCACTTTTTAAAAATCTTTGACAAGGTCAAGCAATAAAAATTGTTTCAGATTCACTTACCACCCACAGAATGTTGTGGTACTTGACCAGCATGCGCATGACGTTGCAGGTACCTGCTGCAAACTGCAGCTCGGCGTAGTCAGGTGACTTCTTGCGGGCCGACTGGGTGGTGAAGAGGTTGGGTGCCATGATCATGGCGATGTTGTTCAGCGACATCTTGTTCTGGGGCTCATGGTCCACCACTTTTCCAAGGAACTTCAGCACCAACTGTAAATTGGTTCCGCCACCCAACAAAATGAAAGGATTTTGATAACCCAACCATAACAACTTAGATGCTAAACCTAAGAATTTTCATCAACAGTGATTTTAAGAAATGAAAAAAAGTCCACAAATCATCCACCAGAGAATTTAATAACAACACACTTTCACTGTTGGGGCCTTTCATGGCTAATAAGGCATGAGTTTTCTGCCAAAAATGGCTAAGATTAAGTGAACACTGCACTTGGTTTTGTATGAAGGAACTGCAAACAAGTAGCAAAACCTGACCGAGAAATAACTTCAATAAATCCAGAATTTTCGAGTAAAATATTCTGAACCACCCCCCAGAAAAACTTGAGAAACCACATCCATTCATTAATTTTCAATAAATTCTTTTTCGAGAATGAAACCTCGCGTCACTCAATAGTGCAAGGGTATCCGAAGGTGGCCCGGAAACATAAAAAAAAACCAAGACAGAGTGAGAAGATGAAGAAGGATTTTGCAGCTTTAGAGGAACCAGTATGAGGAAAACTGGGAAAAGCCCTAGAATATGGTAGGGAGTGAAAACCCAGTCTGCATGTCAGCCTGGGGTGGATTCGAACCTGGTTCTCAGAGGTGCAAGGCAAGGAGAGTACAACTACATCAACCTGACTCCCCCTTTAAATACATTTCCGGTCTTATTCGAAACGAAGTGTGACTCCAAAAAAAAACACCTTGCACTGGCAAGTCCTAATTTCACAACATGCATTCAAGACACAAAATGTACATCATCGCACGACAGGAAGTACGCCCAAAATTCTGAAAGATGCCCTGTGTTGATTTTGAAGGGGGTCTTAGCACGTCCCACTAACTTGCAGGCACTGATAAGAAACGGCAGGGTTTCTGCTCGGGCAGAAGTTTACGCGAGGGTTAGGATTTAGGCTGCAAATTCACCACGTCCTCCGACGCTTGTAATTCCCCCATAAGGAAAAAAAAAGGACTCATGTTTTCTGGAGAAATCAAACAGGGCCCTGATCACGTGATGACAGACTCGGGAGTATTTTTGGGTTTTCTCTTTTCTCCCCCTTCCTTCCTGGCAGCTGGCAAATTGGAATTCCTGTCCGGTTTGAAATGTTAAGCGGATCGGGGAAAGACAGGGGCTCTTTGTGGGTGGTTAATGTGTCAGGGGTTAATTGACTAAATCAGCCTGAAATGTTCTCAAGATGAGGAAGCTTATACAGCTCAGCTGCGAAACTCTAGGACTATTCCAAGATGGTCACACGGGAAATATTTTCCATTTTGTTTTCATAAGCCTCTCCTACTCCCACATGTAGTCAACATTTAAAAACATCTTAACTTTATATAACTATTAAAAGGAAACGCAAATTATTCCAAATATGTTCCAAATAATGTAAAAAAAATTTCCACAACCTCTTCAGAATGTTTGTACAGGACTGGTTTATTGTGCTTTTCAATAAAATCTGGGCGTTTTTTTTTGGACAGAGCTACTGCTAATTAGATTTTTCACCAAAATGGCCCAGGGAAATGAGATGGCTACTGGCATGTCCACAAGGAAGACACTTTACTGTAACCAATTCTCTCCAGCCAGGAATTGACTTTTCACATTCCCTTGCCCTCAAGTAAACTATGTGGATTTATGACACTGAAAATAGCCCATGGCGGTTCAAACAGCTCCATGACATAAAAATAAAAACCCGTTTTTATTCGCACATGGTTACAAGCGTAAGGTCATGATTTCCCTTTGGCCAAGTTTTGTTACAAGTTTGGAGTGAACTTGTACCAGGAGGAAGGACCAGAGTCAATGAACTTTTCACCTTTAAAAGTCTCATTAAAAGGGTGGGGGTTTTTGATGTGGGTATAACCGACTGACCTTAAGGGTTGCTCTGTGGATATCTGGAAGGACAAGGATGAGGAGGTTGAGACACTGGAGTTGCTTCTTGCGATCTTGGATCTCTGTCAAAAAAAAAAAAGAAGTACATCTGAGTGGGGTGGGGGCTTCTTGGTTTTACAACAGGGGACAGGGCCAGATTGGATTTCAATGAGGACATCTTGCGTTGCAGTGCAAATCTGCAGTTGAGCTCACTTACGCGGTTCTGCAAGAAATCAGTCGACTTAATACATCAACTAGCTTGTCATGGGCCCACTTTTGTGGCTCTAAGCACTGTAGGTTACAAAGTTTGGCCAACTGTGGTAGAAGATCTCAGTAGCAACAATTAGCATATTTTGGCGCATGAGCACATCCCGTAACTACAGTTCATTCAATTGTGGGCTAGCGTGCAATTCTGAGCTACATGTCCTGCCTATCTGCCACAGCTGTTTCCGTTATTTGAAAGAAACTTGCAAACGCTAACACAGATAGATACGTATACCTCTCCACATCCAGGTGTATAACAAAGATATCAACTTCAGAAAAGGTTAAGCCATGTTGTTTTTACACCTCGTCCTTCAATAGGTTCTTCACCCTAACTTTCTCCTACCCATGGGTATGATATTAGTAGGTACGGGTATAAATAAATCCAGATGCTAGCCCTATGCTATGCCCTTAAACAAGGTCCTGCTACCTAATGTACCTACCTGTCCCCCTTTACCCTTGGGTATAAATGGGTACAGGTGTAAACAAATCCAATTTTGTGCTCTATGGTGAGTATTTAGAAGCAGGTCAACCCTGGATCCTGCCAGCATGTTGTTTTTCAAATGGTCTTCCTGCAGCCTGTGCAATTCTGCCTTCATAATTGCATTTGTTGATTCTTCTCCACTCCATCCCATCTTGAAGATCTCATCTCCTGAATCCAACCTAACTCATAAAGGGCTGGTTCCTTTATGTACTTGGTGTGCATGTAAATGGGACTGTGCACAAGCACAAGTTGAAAGCATTTCAAGTGAACTTTGCCAAATTCCTGCATTAAAGGAATTTGATGTTTGACATCAAACTCACTTCACACTCCCAAATGCTCTACATGAAGTACACCTATACTCAAATCACTTCTTTTCATCCAGTTTACTTAATCTTAACTTCTAAATCCATCTTCCAAATCTACTCATATTCTAAATCTGTCTTTAATATCTTTAATTCTACTAAAATCTTAAAAATCACAAAAAATGGCATCTAAACCATGCCTAAATGTAATAGTCAGCCTGTCAGATTAAATGACTTTGAACAGGGTGTAAATCAATACCTGTATTGCAAAACGAATGTGGACTGTGGAATTTCCGGCTTTTAACAAGACAAGCGGCCAACAGTTTCAAGTTTTCCAAATGGGAAGGATCCCATCACCTCCTGAAATCCTGAGCCCCCAGTGATACATCCTGGAGATAAACAGCCTATCTATGTCTGACAACCCAGGCCACATGTGTTCCACCAAGTCAAAAGGATCTGTCACTTGAAATTCTTGTCCTACATTTTCTGACTGGCGGTGCTGTCAGAGAAATCTGTTCTTTAATCCTGTGACCACCAAAACACTCCAAAAGTTCTACTTTTTTTTCTATTGCAGAAAGTTTTCCATGTTCAAAGTCAGCTACAAAGAAACTAGGATATAAGTTTTCAAAGAATTATGTACCGCTAAGTGGATAAAGAGACTTTTAATGACAGATGCTTAAATATGCAATGGAAATCAACACATACAATGGAAAAACTGAATTATGTGTTCACTTCAGAACTTAGAGACTATTACTCCAAGAACTAATCATTGCATGTTATTCTATCACATTTCAAATGGTTGATTTGGCTTCAACTTGTTCAATTCACAGTCACCTAGAGAAAATATATGAACCACTTTCATGGCAGAGACAAGACTACAGTGTTTACAATAACATTTGCATTTTTGGTCACATCACTGCCGTTGGCAAATTGCTGGGTGAAAACTCAAGTGGCAATGGAAGGACTGCACGCTCATTTTGTTGTGGAAAAGAGGGTTGGAACTCAGACCAAGTCTAAAAGTTGTAGAAGTCATTAGCTACATTTATGGGCTGCATCAACCTATCATTGACATGTTTGGTACACAGCCTTAGCCAGTTGATTTTGGACACCGACTTACTTTCCACCATGGCAAAGGCGTTGATGTAATCCAGTGTCAGGATGGGCGTGGGCAGGTCACGGAGAAACTGTTTGAGGAGTCCCACCACATCATTGACTCGTAAATCTTCAAACTTGAACTTGCCCTCATAGAACAGAGTCTCAATTTCCTCCCGGAGTTGCTGTGGAGGAAGCCAGAGGGAAACAATTTTTTTTTCTAATTGGCCAAAATTGCATGGGTCACACAGTGTTGTTAAGTGCAAGTTGTTACAGGTTGCTGCTGTAAGGATGGAGAATGGAACTACAATTTTTTTTTTCATTTTGGAAACTTTTTGCTTGAAATGTTGCAAGCATTAGATACATCTGCTCTGATGAAATGCTCATGTTTCATCAGTTAATCAAAAAGTCTCTTTGCACCTACATGTATCTCTTACTCCCAGTGATTTCTGTTTCGACATTGGTTTCAAGATCCCTTCCAAAACTTTTCTTCACTGTCGCCAGTGTTCATCCAAGCAAAGATTACAGATTACAAAATGTTGATATCTCATTGCTTTCTCATTTTAAGCGTTTCCATGATAGCCGTAATTATGATATCCTGGCATGTCACATCCTGATGTAAAAGACAACAAGATTAATGTCAAAATTAATTTTTACTGCTAACACCTTAGTGTCTACAGTTGGCCAATGTCCAATCAAAACAGGAACACCATTAATTAACAGCTCGTGACACTACGAAGCAAAAGTGAAAACTCATTGGTTGCAAGGCAGCATCAGGAGATGGACACAGCTTGTACTTCATTGACAACAAGAGTGCTTCTGCATTATCACTTTTTAAATAAAACTCAGGGTTTCAGCAAAAACTGAAGGAGAACATATGACTTTTCTTAAACAAATACAGGGATCGGGTGTCAAAAATCCAGAGACAAATCTATGACTTTTCCAAACCAAATTCATTTATGACTCTGCAACCTTTTTCAATGATAATATTCGTGATTTCTTGAAATGAAACCTGTGATTGGCCGATTCAAAAGCCCGAGACTTTTTCCCATGGTAAACCACAACATATTCTGTGAGTGAGTCTTAACCTTTCCAGGGCAAAGCTGTATGACACTGCATGCCAAATATAAGACTGCTCTGCCCTTTTTTATATAGTCGGGCAGGAAACGTGATTGACATCAGGAAAACATCCATGTGTAGCTGCAAAGGATCACGCAGTCCTGTTGGGGAATTATTTTCAATCCAGTTCCTATGGCAGAATCTATTTCAAGCTTTTTCACCACTTTAACGTGGAAAAGTCGCATCTTGGCAATCCAATTTATCAGCCCCATTTCTAACTTTCACAGTGCTACTTCCGTCAAAACAAAGGCTACAAATTGCTCCCCCCCCAAAAAAAGTGAAGAAGACTCACAAAGTTTCCTTGAGATGGATGAAAAACAACTCTAATGACACGAAAGACCTTCAGTGCATCAAGGCACCATGGAGACATTTTACCTTGATTCTTGCTGATGAGCCAGGAACTCTCAACACACCCTCCTCGTCCAGCCCGTTCTCTTCTAAGTAACTAATGATCTACAGAAGAAACAGAAAACATGCGAAAGTTCCAATCCGGGTGATATTACACATGTAACCCAGAACTCACCTTTTCAACAAAAAAAGCAAAACTTAAATTGGCGAGAAATTGATATTTTTATGAAGGCATATTTATTTCATTCATTGCATCCTGGTTCCCTAGTCAAAGTATTACTGGGCCTACATTCTTTGGTAATATTCTAAAACTGAAAAAGATTTTTTTTTCAAAAGATATTAGTTTGCCAATTATATACCTACTTTTAATTAATCCATTATTCATGAAAAAAGAAGAATATTAACAATTACCTTTTGTAATACCAGTGGCGTGTCTGTTTCCGGTCTCCATAGTCTGTCATTCTCAACAAGTGTTGTAAGTGGGACACCAAAGATACCGGAGTCTATGACAAAAACATGAAAATAATATCTTACATAACATATGTGAATAATCTACATGTATATAAACTAACCAATACAATAGATGACTATCCTATTACAGTAGGAAAAACTGTACATCGTGTGTAGTTTTAAAAGAGAGATCTGCATATATGTAAATTTGGGAGAGCAAAACCAGTTATGGTAATTATGCACTAACATTAAAATACATGTAGCTTTTAGATAATGTGATAGGAGTACAATTTCCTCTAAGTACTCAGTACTAACATTTAATTCATATTAAACTGTACTTAAAATACACTTTGCTTTTTCAGTTTCATTATTTAGCTTTGACGTTTTCTCAGACCTTTTTTGGAGGTTTCATTTTTTCCTCCAGTTGTTGAATAACAATACAGTCTTTTGTCCTAAGAAATAACCAGGGACCTATTTCAAAGACATCAGGAACAAAAGTCAATGTCAACTTTTGAGGACAATAAATTCCACTCCACTCATGTCTGAATTAGCTTTCAGCCAAATTCAGTGAGAATTCTCATTTTTACACTGAGCCCTTAGTAACTGTCTTTCGACATTTTGGAACCCACCTTTATATTTCTTTCGACTGGACTTTCGGACTGGCTGGAATGACAGGCCGAGCCGGTCAAACATGGCGGTCAACTCAATGAGGGCAATCTGCCGGACCCTGTCAATGTCCTTAGGGGAGAGGAAATGGACCGGGGTAATGCCTAGCTTGTCCCTGGCGATGGAGATGTTCTAAGAGGAAAAGAAATATGCAGAAGGTTGGTCTATACTTCAATGGATGGACAGTATCCACTTCAAAGTAACGTTATAATTAACTGGTTTGGATTTGTACTACTGTAGTCACAATTGACACATTTTTTTCTTCTTCTGATTTTCAGTTTATTTTGTTTCTGCTTTAATTTTTTCCTTTTAATATTTTTGCCATTTGTCTGTAATTCTTTCTTTATTAAGATCAATTTAGAGTAAGCCATGAATCAAGTCAGTGAGTGCATATACTTAGTATCTGCCAAGGGGAAACTACTCCATACAAAAACAGGCCCACACTTTTTGCAAAGCACGCGCACCGCCGTGCCTGACAGTCAATTGATCATTTCCTCACCAAAACCCAACAACATCCGAATGACCCACAACGTCACACAGCAGCTCCTTCAAAAGAGAAAGGAGTACAGGAGAAAAAAAAAGCAAGGCTACATCATCTATCTCCCCGGAGACCACATCTCTCCCCTCAACATTGCCTCGACAACACCCTCGTCCCCAAGAGATTCAGCAGCATGTTAGCCAAAGCACTTGGGCACCCAAACCAGGGGGGATAAAGAAAATTAGGCACACCGCAATTTGCATCCTGCTTTTGCCGGACTGTTCGGGATAATTCATGAGTTCCGCTGCATGCTTGGACAGATCCATGGCCATATTTGGTAAGTCTTGGATATCTGTTTAAGGGTAATTCACTCCAGACCACCCAAATTCTGTAGTGCCAACAATTGAAAGATCAACACCACATTAATGAGAATGCTTCACCATGGATCCCTGGGGTTGTTCACACTCATCGCCTCTGGGTGTCCAAGGAGGTGTCAAATTAACTTCTCATTGCTTTTTGCTTCCACATCACCTCGGCTTACTCAGCTTCACAATATCATCTGTCTACTCTTTTCCCCCAAGGCTTCACTGTTTTTCTCATCTTTTCTTCCGATTTCTCAGTAAATTTTACTCCTGTATTTTGCCAGTACTAAATCACTATGAGTACTGTCAAAATTGCATGTACTTCCACTACTGCTGGTGCATGGACAGTAACAAGGGAATTTTTCTACAACTACAATGGCTTACTGTGGCTCAGCTTGAGACTGATTACCCAGGACAGTCGAGTCCACCTCAAGTCCTTTCACAAGCCCTGTCACTGTAGTAGCAGGGTGGTGAATGACAAAGGAATGTCTCTGTCACAGTTTACCAGAACAATTTGTGTCTTGGCTTCAGACTACAGAAGATGACTTGTGATGGACTTGTGATGGACTCACCACCACATGACTTGTGACTACTCATGTACAACTCGGAGTACTTGTGAAGCACTCAACCACTACACTGTATTACACTCATTTCCTGTTTTTTGGTAAGCATATCAATCTAAACATAGTTGCTAAGCATGTCATTTTGGACATTTTTCACTGTGTTTATCAAGTCATCTGTCTAACAAGCCCCACTCCAAGTAATTTACTGTTCATCGTCTCTTTTACTGCTCTGTTTAACGGTTCCTTCCTGTACATGTTGAATAACATACCGGGTACTGGGCTTGATCCTAAGACAGTCTATATTCATCCATACACAGTCTATGCCTTCCCATCAAAACAAAATCGGCTCACAGAATCTCATCAAGAGAGAGAAAGAAAAAAAAAGATGACAAATTAACAAGAAGTCATTTCTCTACTCACCGGAAGAGCTGCAGACAAACTGCGCAGCAGGTCGTCCTGCCGCAGGGATATGTCTTCGGATGACTGCAGATCCTGCAATGGCAAAAACAAGAAAACATGACACTGAAAACTGGAACCTGATTGCTTTTTTCAAAGAGGAAAGGCTTTTGGCTGGGACTCAAAGTAAGATGAGGATTTAAGATGGCATCACCCAAGAAAAGCACAGGAAATTCAGAGAGGTGGCATGTACCGGTATGCACATGTACAAGTGCAAGACTCTAAGACATACATGTATGGCCATGCCCATTGAACAGTAAGAACTTTCGGGGCCAACTTGGGCCAGAGAAGTCTGGCACTCTTGTAATCACAGGTAAGAATTCCACTGCTGTTAATTTTTTTTTCATTCAACATGAAAATGGATTAAGCTGCTCCTGATCACGACTTGTGGCCAAAATAGTTTACAAAATACGTCCATGTAAGAGTACTCACAGCCCTTTATAGCCACATAAATCTGCTAGAAACATAAATATAGTGAAGGTGTAACACTACAAGAAAGATCAACTGAAGTTAAAGAGAGGCAAAACTTTGGGTAACTATCCCTTCAGTACTGAAGCTTAATTATTACTCAAATTGTATTCATACAACCAAAAATATACAAAGCTGGAGTCAAAAGATCTAGTTTAAAATCCGACTTTCTCTTCCCAGAAACTGCTTGAAATAAACTTAGCATCCTTTGAAATCAGAATAGCATCCCTTCTTACCAATGAATGTTTGCCAAAAATTTATAGAAGGAAAAACAAGACTGGAGAAAATAAGAAGCAAATGTTTGTCCGCAGAGGAAGAGGAACACTTTGAAAGCAAAGAAAAAAATTCTTTGCGGGTGGAAGGGCTAATATCCTCCCTGACTGCGGTCCAAGAGGTTGGGGGGAAAAAACATGCCACGAAGTGGAGTGGAAAACAGCGTAACAACTTCATTGGTTGCTTTTCCTGTGACAGGTGTACGGTGAAAGGGGGGATGGCTGTGTGTTATTTTGAGCAACTTGCTCTGGAAGAGTGAGTTGGGTTATCCATCGAGTCTTGGCTCATGGTTCCGTGAAAGTCTAGACTCTGACGTTCTGGTACATACAAATGATGTGTTTGAAACACGGACAGGCTTTATGGAATTGGAAATTTTGTTCCACAAAAGGAGTCAGTTCTCACAGGAAAAGTTCTTGTAAAGAATGGAATCTGAAAAACAGGACATACATTGTAAAATATTAGTCCCTGTACTCTCCTTGTCCTAATCTGTACCAGCTGTTTGGGGAGAAAAAAATATCTATTCCAGGTGGATGAAAAGTACCAGGGGTATGCTCCAAATGAGTGGTTTTCTTCAGATCTTTGTTTATCACATTAATTTCCCTACTAAGTGCTAAGCCAGAATTTCGACATGTAACTTGCATTAGCAAATACCAGTACATACATGTAGCTGGTCTTTCAAAGCTCGATGTGCTCCAAGGCTGATTCCAATCTGAAACACCATTGGGCCAGCAAACGGATGGATGAGTGATGTCTGGTGGCGTTTGGTGGGGAGCAGTGGGGTCAACTTACCAGAATGGAATCCCGAGCATGGGGTCGGAGGAAGTTGTCATAGTTTCCCTTCTGGCTTGGGACGGTGATGGGCATGGTGTTGGTGAGACTGAGGATCTTGACACCTGGCAGAGGGCAAGAGACAAACCAAGCATTTATACGACTCTGAGAGAACACCACAACTCTCCTTAACAGCACACCTAACGGAAAACTCCAAAAATAGTGCCCCAAGGATGCGCATTAGAGTCAGATTATGAAGCCTCACCCATACAGGGTAACCTTTTAATGTTTTGGTTTCAGCTTCAAATTGGACATGGCTTTCGTTACCTTTTCCAATTCTATCAGGTAAAATCAGAATGTCTTTTTGTTTGAAGCTATTTATATTCCTTTCAAATAAATATGAGAGATATTTTTTACCACAAATGCATATCAAGGATGTCCTGTGATCAGGGAAGCAACTTCAAATACTCTGTACAATTATTCTCTACTAAATACATGTACACGTACATAAGTACTGCCACATTTTTAAAAAGAATCGGAGGGGCGGAAATTTTTTTTTCTTTAAAATTTGAGTTTGCTATCCAGGGAATCCCCCACGAACTCCAATCTTCTCTATGTAAATCTTTTACAAAATTGAAGTTAACTATTAAGTTACATTGATGTTACGTCCTCAATATGAGCAGTGGGGATCACTAAACTTACGGGTAGCGTAACAAATACTGTGAGCAAATCTGGCTCAAACCCACAACCTCAGCAAGTTTGGTGATTGAGTGCACTAGTGAGCATGTCGCAAAGATCCACTTGAATAAGCTAGTGAATAAGCCAAAATTCCTCGCTAAGTTGTGGAGGGAAGAAAAAAGATTTCCCAAAATCTGCAGTTTATCATTCATGTACTGGCACTTAGGATCTTGTCTCTTTCAAGGTCAAGATCTCATCAAAGATGAAGATTCCCCGGATGACACTTCTCATCATAGGATGTAAGAATTTCTCAAAATTGACAAATATTTTTTGCAGGGCAGCTGCGGTGGCTGAGTTATCAGGATGGGCTCATTAACAAACCGGTCATTTACCAAAGAATGCATTGAAATTCGACCCCAAAAAAAACTGAGGGAATGACATGAGTTAATTCTGTGCCAGTTGGTGCCTGTGATAAATTTGAGTGATTCTTATCTTTGATGATCCCAGGCGTCTTAGTGGAAGGTCCACTGAAGTTATTTTAGAGTGCGGCTACACTTTCTTGAGAGAATAAGGAAGTTTGCATCCATTCAAAAAAAAATAAGGAAGTCTGTGGCTTCTTTTCTTGGAAACTGTGGGAGAATGTGCCCACAAGTTTTATATTGAAAATTTACTTTATTGCCTAAACTAGGAAAATAACAGAGTGTCTCTTCTATTCAACATTTTCCAAGTTAATTAAAAACTTTCAAGTTAATTATAAACTGTCTCATACAAAGTTTTGACAGGCAGTGAAATAAAGTTTCACTCATTTGAAGGGAAAGAGGGCAAAACACTATAAAACTGTAAAACTTAGGAAACTTTTAATGCGGTTCTGTTACAACTGTAACAGTGTAAGTTACTGCACACCTAACCAAAGGCCAGGAGGTCCATACACACATTGTTGTATTCAAGTTTGCAACTCTGTGCTCAAATAATGATGCTCTGTGTGGAGACCCATCGAGAGACAGGATAATACGTTGAAAAGGATTCCAGGGCAATTCTGAAGATGTAAAGGTCTCCACCAGGACTTCCCATAATGGGTATTTGGAAATTAGGCTACTCGAAAAGGAGGAACTTTTGATGTGTAATTATGTGTAGCAAATTATGTGTAGCAAATTAGGGGTTTTCTGTTGAAATTTCAACCAAGAAAACAAAGCACAGGTACATGTAATTCTGGTTCAAATAGGAGCATTTCGTCTCTACAAAGACACATGTACATGTACATACAAGTACTTGTGCGAATTTCAGTATGTGCGTATCGAGAAATGTGTGGTGGATGTTAGCATTAAGGCAGAGTTTTGATATACATGTACACATATACAGAAGAAAACATTAGTTGTACCAAGGCAAACATTTTCATAGTTTTCAATAATTTGCTGATTCCTGCTTGATGTGGACTTTTTTATTACAATTTCTGTAAAAGGTCAAATCCTACGTAAGCAGTCTAAGGCCGTGTCTGAATCTACTGGCTGTGGCTGGGATTACAATACCTGCGTGTGGGGAATGGCCGTAGCCGCAATGCTGTGCACAGCCCGCTGCGTGCCATAGTCCCTGTACAAACTCAAATCCAATGAAAATCAAGAGAGAACCTCGGCGGGCCGTGTGTGGTTTTCATGGGTGTATGTGTTCTCCAAAGCCACGGTCAAAACTTTCACACAGCCAATTGCTGATGTCTTTTCACAAAGGTATGTAACATCTTTGGATTGAATATGCCAAAGTCACCTCGAGATCCAAAGATTGTATGAGCCACTGCTACATGTACATGTACGTACCGGTAGTTGAAATGTTCCAATTGCATCTTACATGTAAACACCAGTATACTTGACCACAGGAGGTATGCAGTAATTCATAGCTTCACATGATGTACCGCATCCATGTACACGGGTTCTCTCCTAAGCTGGTCCGTGCAGTGGTCACAGTACGGTACATACATCTACATGTGAATGTATCAAAAATCTGGAATTTGTATTCGTTACATGTCATGCATGTACCAGTACGTCCATGAACATGTAAGTGACCCATTGGAGAGAACGATAAATCAGTTAAGATGTGATTAGTATTTTGACTTTGCGCATGGTCTATGGCTGTTGCGCATTATTAAAAGAGACAGTGGCACCTGCATGTACTACACCTACATGTACATGTACATGCCTCTGTGTCATGCGCAATATGGCTGGATAGCTCAGTTGGTACCACAGAACAATGAAGCAGTGATCTTCACAGGTTCAAATTTTGTTCTGCTCAATCTCTGTCGGACAACTTCCCGGTGAGACTTTAGGAAATAACTGAACAGCAAAAACAATGTCGACATGTACATATACCTGTTTCTTCCTCTTCGACTGGAAATCCGAGTAAACTCTGAAAGCTGAACAAACTCTGTGGCCACTCCATTACCACTCACAGGGGAGTTTCAGTATCGACACAAAGAGGATTACTAGTGTAGAAGATACACTTTCAAACTCTGAAGATGCAAAGTTGCAAGAAAAAATGCTGTCCAATGTACAGGTACGAAGGAGAACATCAACCTCTTACAAAGTTATCCACACACACACACTTAATGATGAAAGAGAAGAGGCTTGATATCAGTGTCTAAAAATAATTATTATCCAGGTGACAGAGAGGAGAGTGACTAGGACCTAGCTGCCCAAACAAGTTACGTCACTTGTTGGCAATACTACTGTAGCATACAGCAATATTCCGTAATAAATCTGACACAAGAGCTTCAGGAGAGGTGTATTTCAGTCAATGACAAATAGCGCACATGCTGTTGCATGAATTCCTGAAGCAGACTGGGTATGGATTTGCTGGGATTTGGGAGTTTTCTGAGCATCGCAGGCGAAGAGAGTTGGTACCGCTCCTGATCCCACTCCCGCTTTGTATGAATCACAGGCAACCTGACGCAAAGGTGAGGCATCCTGCCTTGCTATAAACATCAGTTTACAAACTCACTGACGTCTATTTTGGCATCACATTTCTGCCAACTGTCACCACGAGCTGCACCGATCTTTTTACCCAGTCAACTCAGGCTGTTTACAGCTGACGTTCAGTTGTACGTTTATTTTTGGGAGTGATGTACATGTACTTCCCACATGGAGGTTTCGCATTACTTCAGTAACAGAAATTGGTACAACAATGTCATTTTTAGAGGAAGAAATTGGGATAGATAACAATCAAACAACTACGGATCATATCTTTGTCATTCATGATTTTGCAGTATCATATATGCGTATTACATGTAACTTTACACATACAGGTACGTGTACTTGTATGTGGTTACTGATATTTTGCAAAATGTTATCACTTGTTCAAGTACACATGAAACATAGTCTTATTTAGTGTACGTGTACTGTGTACATCATGTCACTTGAGTCAACATCCATGTACATGTATTCTTACAAATGGGTCATTAAGGAGACATTTTGTGGTATATTTTTTTACCTTAGGGAGACATCGGTCATTAGAGAGACATTTCAATGTCTCCCTAATGCCCCGGCTACCAGAAGGAGGCCAAATTTTACCGTCCAAATTTTGAGAGATGATAGATTAGGGTCTAAATTGAAAACATACAAAGTTTGGTTCAGATCAGATTAGGGAATATTTAATTATGGGACAGTAAAGTTTGTGCACGTTCTTATGGGAATGTCTCCCAAGTGACCCATTTTTGGTAATTAGTACATGTACCGGTACATGAATATTGAAACAGGAACAAATTAATACCATCACTGCTCAAGATTCTTCCTTTCAAATTTCTTTCCAAAATGACATTTTTTTTCTATTCTCACCAATATCAGTACCATACCGTGGCCTTTCAGTCAATGTTATGATCGAACCTACATGTACATGTAACTAAGGTCAGTCAACTGATAATATATGTGAGACAGTCAAACAAATTTTGCCAAACTTCTAGTGCCTAACATAAAAGCAAGTTTTTTCAAAAAGGACTAGAATAAATTCTATATAGTCTAATAGAACATTTACTCCAAATTTCCTTTCTAAAATAAATTGATATTCTGCGTCCTGATTATGAACGATTAAAAAACTAATCTATTTAAACAATATCAAAGTTATTTTAGTTTTTCCTTCCCTCTTTGTCTCTTTTAAATTTGAGGTGGAAAATTCAACAGAAAAGCCTGAGGTAGTCACTAAAATCAGTGAGGTGGGCCGTCTCACAGTTAAATAGGCAGGAGAAACCCTGATTTACAACACCAGTCACGAGTAACAAGGAGAACAGTAACAAAGGAATGCTTTTTTTTTTTTTTTGACAATCATTTGAATAGCCTGTGACTTGATTTCAGACTAGAGGTCTTGGTGTCTTGATCTTGTGATTGCAGGGTCCTGAGATGGTCTTAAGGAGACTCGACTGGAACACTGCCCAGTGCCACATCAAAAAATGAATAAATAAATAAAGAGAAAAGAAAAAGCAATCAGCGAGCGTGAACTTTGTTGGAATGTTGGACAATGTCAACTGGTCAGAGTTGTTTCAGTGAATATTTTGTCTATAAATAGAGGTGACCAAGTGACTCAATCCAAACAACCTGTTATACTGGCATTGACAGCTGGATGATAATTAGGGGCGATCAGTCAACTTCCGAGGCCAACCTTAGAACTTTCCCCCTCTTTCCTTTTTATTTCATGCTAGAGCAAAGACAGAAATTTTGACTCTAATGCCGACAAGAGGCGAACACATATCACACACATGTACCAGTATGTTCACATGCAGCTTTTAGCACCAAGTGAAAACTCCCATAAGTCCTTTTTCAAGAGAAAACAAAGAGAGAACATACAGGAAAGCACAAAATTGTACTGCAATAATTTCAACTTAAAATCAGTACACAAGAATGGTGAAGGTTCGGTAACATTTCAAAAAGACTTGCATGTGTAGGAAAAATCCTTTTTTAATAGCAAGACTAATAAAAGAAACTCATTTACCAAAAAGCACAGAAATTGCATGTACATGTATACACAAGTCCGTTTATGCATGCTGAAAGTAGAATGCACATTACTTTGGAATTTACATGTACATCATGTTTGTGCAAGCTTCTAGACAATTCTTGGGCAGGAGATCTGTCCACCCTAAACTGTCTCAAATAGATCTAATTTTACAACTTAACTGCATCTCTGACAACCATGGTTTACAACTTTAAGACAACACTACATGTAAATGCTTTGTAACATGGTTGCATAACGTTCAGGAAAGTCCCTGCGCTAAACAATGTGGCATTTCAAAGCTCCCGCTGACACCACTGCAAAAGAATGTATTTTGATCCTTTCTAATTACAGCTCGAGTTCAGAACTTCACTCCATCTTTCTACACTGATTCAACGGGCAAAAGTTACGAGCAGTTGCGTCTTTCACGATCATGGTCTTAAAAAACCAAAATGCCAGCTCTGTCTGTTATATGTATACCAGTTCATGTACATGTAACAGTTCAACTTGGTACTGGTATTTTAAGGTAAAAAAATGTGCTCTCTGAAAAAGGACTTTTACCACTGGAGTTTAGATATAATTGTACTTTATATGAACCTGTGGCCTGAGGTATTGCCAGCATGTACATGTTGATCATTTTAATATCTTTTTTATGCTTTTATCAGCTCCTTCACGTCAGTAAAATAATAATTGTTGCTTGTTCATCATCTTAGGACTTTTCAGAGTCACATTAATCAAAAGTAAGATTTGTCCCAGCCCTCAGTGACAGATATATTGTACTAGTGATCCTAAATTTGGGCGACTATTACGGGGACGCATTTCAATTTGTTTAGACCAACTGTAATCACGTTCTTTCCTTCCCAGACCCTGCAAAATCTACATGTAATATCCCAACCCCACAATAAAAAACAAACAATTACACAAAAAGCTTTCTATCATTAGCAAACATACGTGAAGACTACATACTACATGTAAAACCAAATCGTATACCTCTCCTCCAACAGTGCTCTGCATGCGCCAGACTCAATCTTAAACAAACACTGGCCACGGCAAAGGGCCAGATCTTATTTTAATGCCCCAAGTTCTTACCTTTTGGGAAGGATGAAAGGGAGGGAGGGACAGAGTGATATTGTGGGAAGGCCAGAATTCATAAATCGTCGAGAACGTGACTACTGCGGAAGTCAGAATGGCAATCAGTTTGCTGGTGCCATGCCCATGCCAACATTTCACTCACCTTGGCAGAGCTGTGGGTTAGTCACGTTCACTGTCATAATTGTTTAGATACCTATTTTTGGTTCAGTCCCTTCACCTTTCCTTTCAGTAATTACATATTTTCAAACTTACCTGTACATGAAACTTTGTCTACTGGTACACGTTTTAGACACTAATAGGCATTGGGAATTGCCAGGATTTTGTTGGCGCGGCAGAAAGCACCACGCACCAGAAAACTGACAATCCATAAAGTCCAAGGGGGGTCAATTCTGAGGTAGTTTCAAGCAAATTGGTGATTTTCATCTACTTTCCTCCTTTTTCTCTTAATTTTTTCTTTTGTTTTTTTCTTTCCTGCTTTATTTGTCATCTTTTCCCAGAGGCGGGGGCAAGCATCCCCCTTGTCTCCCCCCAATCGGTAAATGGTTGACGATTTCTCAAATACAATGTACTTAATATCGGCAGATAATTTCAAAAAAGTTTGGCCCTCTATCTAGTCATCTGTAAGGGAGTACATGTATTTGTACATGGAATACATACATGTACATGTACATGTACATATACCAGTACAAATACGCAGATGGTACAACATGAACATGTACTGGTAGGGTAACACATGTACACGTACATGTACATTGTGTACCTTAAGAATAATGTTGATAAATACTGTACGAATACACTGTACTGCCGTGCCTTTCAACAAACTAGGCCAGTCTAGACAAGCCAGCTGGTCGCAACTCCATTGAACCTAAAGTGAACCTACCAGTACACGTGTATCACAATGAATATTTCCGTTTAGAGGAAAACGTCTTTTATAAAAATTAAGATAACACTGGGGGTTCTTATCTCAGTAATTTGGAAGATTTTTCTGGGATGGTGGTGTAAATTAAAGAGTCTAGACCAAAGGATTAGCATGACACAATCTTCAACAAATTGAAAATAAAAAAAAATTTGCACAACTGTTGCCAACTGTTCTGCGGGAGTCAAGGGGGATACCATAAAAATTTCCAAAGTTTCAAAATATATGAACCATTTTTTAAATGAGAGACATTTCTTAGTGGTATTTAAAAGCAAATTTCACAAAGTTTGATCTGGAAAGTTTCAGCATTTCCCAAGATGCGTGAGAAACTTTCCCATCTTTTAACTACATTATTAATGAAAGTATGAGAAAGCTGTCTAAATTTTCCAAAATTCAGGTCTTTGAAAATAACAGTTCACTCATTCTCAGTGCTCAGCAAGCTTCCAAGGTTAGCACTGTACATGTATCTCCATGAAATTGGCATATGTACATGTACATATTTAATTTTCCACGGAATGAGTACAAAGTTATTTGCAAAAGATGCACTTGACTGCGGATGCAGTGCAGCCATGACAGTCAAGGGTGATTCATTGAGAGTAATCGCTCTGTTTTTTTTTTCACCACTGAGTTTATTTACAAGCATGCACTCCACAGTATCAATCATCACGCTAATCTTGTAGCTTCCAAGGACAAGAACTCTATGCATATTAGCATTAACTTCCATGGAGATTGAGACCTGCCATCCGGAATATCAATCCCAAATTCTGAACCGGCAATCCGCTCATGTACAGGTTGCAGATTACATAAGAGCACATTTCACCTGGCACCATGTGACGGAATGACAATCACCTCACTGGCGGTTGCTGATTGTATATTATTTTAAATAGTTCTCTCAGCACATCCCAGCCGGTTAATCCTTGCTAATACCCTGGGCTAATAAAAATAAAGCATTCTCTTAATGAAACACAACATGGAGGATGAATAAGCACTTTCAAGTCTACGTTTGTGCGTGGCAATGCAGCTGTGGTCCAATGAGATGTACAGTCAGGACTGGGTGTGGCAAGTGCAAACCGTGATAATATTAGCTTATAATTTTATCAAGCGCAACATTAATTTGTCTTATTATCTACCAGTACATGTACCGGTAAATTTGATAACCATATGACATGCAAATAAGAGATCCCTACTGTAGTGCATTCCTTTTTCTGAGTTTTGCCTTAATTAACTTGGAATAAATCCTCAGAATAAACAAATGGCCTGACCATCTGACAGAGGCTTTGACTATGGATAGATGGGAATTTGAGTATTCCCCACAAACTGGTGTGCTGGAACAATTGAAGTTTTTGCATAAAGGGCCAAAAGTTGTGTACGCTTGCGTACGTCCTGAAATCTTGAGAGGAATTTGAAAACACGTCACTACAACCCTGCAAAGGGAAAGAGGTGTGAAATGGCCAAAGAGTACACCCAATTTCTCTGTTTCAATGCTCACCTGAGTTGACAGAATCGGCCACGCCCGACGACGCATCCTTGTACTTGGACAGTAGCTTCTCACTGGTGAGCCCTTCTGGCAACGTCCGGCTACGGGTCCTACGGCTGCCACGCTTAGCCACACCCCTGCCGTCAGTGTGCGTCATGCTGGAGTGCTGCGGGAATGGAAAATGGAAAACAGGGAAGAGCATGAAAGTTAAAAGCACGATACCAACCTGATTCTCCCGAAGTGAGCACTGACTACATGTACAGTAGGTTGCACAATTCATGATATTTCGAAACATGGCATGAGCAAGCGTTTAATCACAAAGTGATAGAGGTTGCTCCCACACTGTTGTGCAAGTCTGTGCTAACTCCGCATGGTTACACGAGTCATGGCTCATTTTCTAGAACTGGTGTTGACAAAAACCAAACTGAGTGACACAAATACATGTACAAGAATATAGGGTCTACAGGTGTATGCACCTCCTGTCGCAACTGCTGTGGACAGCACAAATATCTAGGAGAAATCTCATTCAGGATGGAGAACAGAAACAAGATGTTAACAGCACTAAATGATGGCTTTTTTACACCTGCATGTATTGAGTGGATAAATAATCGTAAAAATGCATTTTCTGAAAATTTGAAACAGTATAAAGTTCTGGGAAAACATTACATTTTGAGACAAGTGGATAAAATGTTTGCAGCTGGGACTACCTGGTATCTTGCAACATTTAAGACAAAAGGGGGCAGCACAAAAACAGATGATTAATGTACAAATCCCTCATATCCTTCCTGCTTACACTAAATCAATGAGGTATAAGCTAATTCAAGTTTGTTCACCTTAGTATATGTAACGGAAATCATAGACCCCTTTCAGTCCTCTTTTGTTCACACTTTCTCTGGAAGACCTGGTAAGTGTTTTGTTTACATTATAATCATCAATCACAAACTGTAATGTACCGGTAAGTTTGTGGACACTTTTGTTCTTTATTGCTCCACTTATGCAAATTGAATGTGTATGCACGTACATGTATGCACGTGTATTGGATGTACATGTACATACCGGTACATGAACAAATGTACATGTAGGCCAGGTGATCACCGCATAACACACCTCTCACCTGCCCACATCAATCCAAAAAAGTGAAAAAGTGAGCGGAGTCACTCCCAGAAAATGACAACAGTTACACCAATGAGGACCGGCTACATGTATATCTGCATACGGACTGGGATTCTGTTAACTAGTCAGAATGTTCTGCCCCTGGTGACATGCCTCATCCATCAAGTATTCACGGAAACCGTTCCGCCGCCCAATTACATTTACTTATTGGCTGCACGTTATTTCTCCCCCTTCAACGGCAATGGCCATGGTAAATATTTTGACAGAACGGCATGCAGATTTTTCCCTCCACAAAGTTGACACCTGTGTTACATCTCTTCCGTCTTTCATCTTTCCCATGTCTGTTCACAAATGATGTTTTGCATTAAAATTTTTGTGAAGTTTGGTCTGTGAATCTCAAATCTTTTTTAATCTCAATAAATCTGCAAGTATTGTGCAATTAAGACACCTGCATGCACATACACTACATGTACATGCAGGTACGACACATGGTTTTATCCCACTGAGACATTCAACCCCAATCCCCCCCCCATCACCTACATTTAAAATCAACCCTTTGTTAGACCAAAGACTTGCTTCATGGTCCCTCCGGCTATTCCCACACTCAGAAACCGGGGAACCACAAATTATCCCGCTTCCATCCACAGAGGACCTCGAGGATGTAGAAATACGTCAATATTTTTTGTCACGTCGGTAAACCATGATTTTACTGAGCCACCGTCAGGGTTTGATGTTAACCATGCCTAGGCTACTGTGGCTGCTACACGTGGATACCCCAGGCTGTTTGCGTACCAGATGTCCCTTTGTGGCTTGAATACCACCCATACGGAACTGTCCATAATGTCACCCTCAGGAGGCAGGATAACTGACAAAAAAACACCCCTTGCCCTCACTTGGAGGGTTAAATGGACGGTCCAAATTGTTTTCGTTTGCTTGTTTTGGTGTCATACTGAAGTTATTGTGACTGAATAATGATAGATCAAGTGCATTCATTCACATTTTTTGTTCTTTTCTAGAGATACCAGAAAGTACATGGAGATATGTACCGCACAGTTTGCAAAGTTTACACAGTGTTCCAGTGTACACACTGCATAAGCCTCAACATACCGGTACTATAGTCACTTTCCCCTCGGAAAACAGCACCGATGCACAAACATGGAAATTAACCCAACCAGATCAGAGGATTTAAGAAACTTCAATGAAACAAACTTTGAAAAGTGTACACACATACGTGTACCGATACATGAAGGTCCCAGACTAGATCTATCATCTTCAATTGCTATGTACATACATGTACTGTACAAATCAAGGAGACCTTGCAGACATGGATTAAGTACCATGCAAAGTTAAGAAGCCCTCAGAATAACATTGAAAGGTCTGTGATGTCCAGTACTTGCATTAAATGACTGCACTGTGAACAGTAGTAGTACATGAACATCAAGTAACAAGTACACGTACTACTAAGTCCATGATGTACATGTACATGTACAGTGTTATCACGAGTGGTACACATACAATGTACATGTACTGGTACTTCAGTTCATACATGTACATGCATGTGTACCGGTATACATGTACATGTACATGCATGTGTACCGGTATACATGTACATGTACATGTACATGTATGTACAGGTACATGTATTTCATTCTAGCCACGATTGCAATCCTGAGATTTTGTACCCATCTCACTGGGACTAGAATCTATAATAATCTACACAGAGAATGGCCCACCAGGGGATCAGATCTACCTGTTGGTATTAGCAACAACTAATCTAGTCCTCCTTGGATTGGGGAAGTGGTTTTTACAAACCAAGTGTTACGGACAAGACAAATTACTCATAATGGGCGGAGATGCGAGACAGGTGCCGTCAAGCCTTAATTGGTAGATCTTCCAGTGGTTTCTACATTTAATTCGTACCGTTACCAGAGAATCTTTCCAGGAACGACTTTTTATGTGAATTAAGTGGCCAGCTCTCCCCCCCCCCGGTTTTGGAAGGAAGGAAGGGGGAAGAGTGGTGTGGCAGTTGGTTACAACTTGGATTAAGTGAATTAGAGATGTCAAATGTACATACATGTGACATGTAGGTGGATAGGGGCTGGACAGACTTTCAGGCCAATACCCTGCCATGTCAGATCCTTCCTCTGATTATAAATTTGGGTGCATTTTCCTTATGCGTCCAGTCTCTCTGGATACTGTAGCAATCACATGATCCTAGGAGGCAAACTGACATACATGTACATGTATGCCCGTAGGATAGCCAATTTTGAGTGGTTCGGCCATTCGTGAATATCCTGGTGTAGATATCTGAAGCTGTCTACACATGTCTATCTAGACACCTACATGTACAGGCTGCTTAAAAAACAAACTCACTAATGTGACTGGTATCATCAAGGTATTGAATCTTCTCATTCATTTACCAAAGAATCTTTAGTCAGGTCCTCAATGAACAGTAACTTAATCTTTCTCATCGCACTTATACGTAACTACATTGAAAAACTGTGCAGAAAGGTGAGATTTGGGTGCAAAAACAGGATGCAAACTGTGTCTGTAGGAGCTGTGAAAAGGAACACAAGTGTATGCCTATGACTAATGGTGGGGGAAAACGAGCATTTTCTCTGTTTTAAATACTTTCCTCCTTGCTTTTTATTTCCTCTTATATGAATCTGAAATGGAAATCAAAACTGTAGGACTTTCTTAAATAACAAAAAAAAAACACCCCTAGTTTTTCATGACTGAAGCTGGAAAAATGACCACCAACCAACAACAGTGAAACACTGTGTGGAAGGAAGTATCGGTAAGTATTCAAGAAACTCGGGTGGACATTAAACGTCACTGAACATTTTCCAAAATACACCCTCAGTTCTAACTGAGTGACTTCCTAATCTCTCCTGTTCTGCAAGAAAAAAAAGTCACAGGCTGCTCTGTCGGCTCCCCCAGAGGTAAATGGCAAACCTGTCGGCTTGGGTAATTTTGTGAGGGAAGAAGATGGGGTTCAAGTATTCCCCCACCCCCATTGCACTGCCACTGGTTCTCGATTGTTATGTCTGATAAGTCTGGATGTACATGTACCATTGGGTTCAACTCACCATTCGCTTTAGGTGTCGAAGGCCCTTACAGCGTGGGCAACAGCAGGGGTGGTGCAGGCTAGCAAGTCGAGACACGCAGCATGCCCACATCCTGGCCTCGCTGCTGGTGTATGTCAGTACCATTCGGGCAATCCGATTGGCTCCCCTGGTGGTTACGAGACGCAAAGTCTTACTCGGTTTGAAACTTGAAAAAAGGTGGCTTCTCCAGTTGGGAGCTGAAGGAAAGTTGTGCTTCTACCTAATTTAAAGGCGTAACAAAGCTGCATCAAAACTTCAGGCTTTGAAGTGGTTTCTACTCTTCCTTGTGCATGTAGGTTGACGCAATTTCTTTGACGAGAAACTTGAACGTCTAAACACAGATGGCACTGCAGACTGTTCCAGTAATACTTTGTAATGAGTTGAGGTTACTGTCTTAAATGATCCTGTTGTGAAGATGACAGCAATGGTCTCGGTGATAGTTATTTATCCTGACGAAGCAGTCACAACAACACTGGTGAAGGACAACACTCAATCAGAATGGCATTTGGTTCATCAGAAGCTTGCTTCAGGTGAAAAAAGAAACTAGTATGTCAGGCAGATAGTTTGCCAAAACCTCATAAGCTCATGCTGAAATTATGCTGGCTTCTAAAATTTTCCGACATACGACACACTGCCTTGGCTCAGATTTTTTTTCTGAGACAATCTTGCCACTGCTAGCTGAGCTTGAACTTGATTCAACAAACTGAGCATAAAAAGAAGATCTGGTCTTTTCACTCTTGGGCATCCAAGATGATGATGACTCAAAGAAGCTTGTAAGAGACCCCGTTCACGGTTCACAGTTTCTTTTTCAATGAGCTTAAACACTTAGCAATGCAGTGCATCAATCATGACCAAAGTGTGTTCCTCATGTGCTGATGAGGTACTACCGTAGCTGTGAGTCGCTTAAACGTCTTGGATGGAGGGGGGATGTATCCTGTCAAATCCG